CTTCTATGTCATTTTGATTTATGTTGCTAAGTTAACTTTCAAAAAATTCTATGGCTGGCAACAGCATTTTTATTTTTTAAGTTGTTTATTTTTATTTCTTTTAGAATTCGTTATTTTTTTAGCGAAATGTTTTTTAACCTAACAGAATTCTTTGCCGACTGTTTTCTCTATAAATGAAGAAAATAAAGTAAATATTTCAGTGTTGTGAAAAGAATCTTATTTAGTTGTACAAAGTACTTCAGCCAAAATTTGGGAGCCACGTAAGAGAATTATATATATTAGATCAGAAACACATCATAAAAAGGCAGAATGCTTTGGTGTTTTCAAAACGTAAACAAAACAAAGCGTTAACAAAACGTTGCCACCGGCGGAAAAGAAATACAGCCAAAATTTGGGAGCCACGTAAGAGAATTATATACATTAGATAATATATATATATTATAAATCCCGATGATTAATTTTAAAATTGTATATGAATCACATAAATATGAATCGCATGCATGGTTTTAAAATCATGAGAATAAGCACTGCAATATTTGATTTTAAATTGAGAGGATATGAATCCCGATATGAGTCTTGACATATGCTTCTGAAGCTTGGACAATGACAAAATTGGAGGAAAATTGCATCGCAATATTTGAGAGAAAGATTTTGCGGGGTATACTTGGTGGTGTAAATGGAAAAAATAACTGGAGAAGGAGATTTAATTTATCTTTGAACTGTACAAGATGTATAAACAACCAGATATTATTGAATACATAAAAATAAAGAGAATGAATTGGATTGCCCATGTGATTCGAATGAGTGACGAAAACACAATAAAAAAGATACTGCTTTTTAGACCCACTAGAACAAGAAAGCGGGGAAGGCCGCAGTTGAGATGGGCTGACTCAGGAGTCTGATTTTCTCGCAATTAATAAAAAAAATTGGAGATCAAAGATAAATCGGAAGTCATCATGGAGAAATCTTCAGAGGAAGGCATTGGCTCACATTGGGCTCTCTAGCTAACTTTGACGATGATGATGAATCCCGATATGTGGCTTTTAAATCATGAGAATATAAAATTCAGTATCGAATATAAAAAATGTGGAAATAAAAATAATGATGCGTAATTTTTAGATCGCTTAAAAACGAATCACAATGCATAATTTTTAAATCGCGTGAATACGAATCGTAATGTATAATTTTTAAATAACGTATAAATACGAAAATCAATTTTTGATATTACAACTGCATAATTGAATCACAACATAAAGATTTAAAAACGTGTTAATACAAATCGCGATATTGGATTCTTGAATATCGTAAATAAGAATCTCAATGTACGATATTTAAATCACAAGAATAAGAATTGCAATGAGCAACTTTTAACTACGGTACATACAAAAATCGATATTTGACATTAAAATCTCGTAAAATAAGAATTGAAAATCAGAAGTTAATATAATTATTTTATTTCAACGACGGAATTTTAAGAAAAAGCGGAATATTTATTTTTAAAAAAAAAACTTTTAGAGTATCGGATTATTTGATAAGAAGGCTGAAATTTGAGTGACAAAAGCGGGAAAATCTCATCCCTGTAATAGACTGTTCCATTCTGAAATTAATATGCATCAAATGATATTCAAAGTTTCTCTCATTAAAAATTTTTTTTTCTTTTATAAAATATATAGTTTAATAAAAAAAATTAATAATCCAATACATTTTTTACTGTTATTTATTTGTGATTTTAAAATAAAGAATTTTAAGGTGACAAGGGACTTTCAAATAAGCAAAAATTAGCCAAAAAATTAATGTTTCACTTTTTTACTTTTGAAATTTAGGCATTTGACTGAACATATTAAAAAAAAATATTCTTGAATGAGAGTAAAATTGAAGTGATGGCTATTTCTGTTTTGACCACGCCCTGCAATGAAAAAGGTAATTTTTCTCAAAATGTCTTTTTTGACAAATTTACAAATTTTAAACTGTTCCAGCGAAATGAATTTTCATTCTATTGACCTGAGAATTTGACGCTATATATTTATGAATATTATTAACTTTTGTTGGAAAAGGTTTTTGAATTAATTATATATTATTCCTATACAAGATATTTTATAGCAGTCTGATGATTTTTTTTCTCCAAAATTGCTGTTATTTTTTTCAATAATGAAAAAAGATTCAATTTTTTTTATATTACCTAATATGCATTATTTTAAAAGAATTGTCATTTTAACAAAATTTCAGACGCAAAAAATATAAAAAACATTAAAAATTTGAAATTTTAATTTCTTAAATTTTAAAATGTTTTTTTTTTTAATTTTGTATATAAGTTGTTTTTAACAATATAAATGTATAGAGAAAATTTCAAACCCCCTTGATAATTTCTAAAAAAAAATTTGAAAGTCCTTTGTTGCCTTAAGCCAGCGTTTTCCAAACTGGGAGGCGCGAATTAGTCTAAAGGGAGCAGCGAAAATTAGTCACAGTGAACAATTTTCCAAATTACTGCTAAAGTTTTCTATGTAAAAAGTGAGAGAATAAATGAAAAAATACCATCGTGCTTTATCGCTCATAGTTCAACTAAACATTTCGTAACTTAGCATCCATATACCTAGACCCCGGCAAATCTTTTGAACCAAGGCCGTCGTTAATTTGGCGACACTAGCACCACTCGACCGACACAACTCAACAAAAGCCAGATGCGCGCGCACTAACGCCACTGGGTGCCACACATCCAGAAAAGATCGACGCACGTTTGGCTCACCTATTTGTTTCGTGTCACAGCTAATATTTAATTGGTTGTTAGGTTGTGTTTCTATTGTTATTGTCGTGATTGCCCACTGGTCATAATAGTAAGTAATTCAATAGTTTCATTTTTTTAGAATAATATAATATTATTCCGAATATTTCCAGACAAATGGATAAGTTTTGATAGGATATAAGCGAAAATCCACTAATAATGAAGATTCTGATGTTTGCACAAGTAGTGGGAATACATGCCACAAGGAACAGGAAGGAAGAACTCCCAAGACAAGGAAATACGACTTATCCTACTTATCGTTCAGATTTACTAATATTATTAACGATAAGGAAAAACCAATGTGTTTCTTGTGTTCAATAGTTTTGACTGCTGATAGTATGAGACCCGGCAAATTGAAACGGCACCTTGAAACTATTCATTATGAATACGTTGGAAGGCCCCAGAAATTTTTTAAAAGAAAATTGGATGAGTTATCTAAAAACAAGCAAAATTTCAAAAAAATTGTTTATATTCCATCAAATGCATTACTAGCATCATACCTAGTGTTGTACAGAATTGCGCAATGTAAAAAATCCCACACAATGGCAGAAACCTTAGTTTTGCCAGCAGCTATTGATATGGTCAAAACAATGTTTGGCCAATCTTATGCGAATCAGCTGCGACAAATACCGTTTGCTGATAATACAATTGGCAGAAGAATTGATGATATATCTGAAGATCTTTGTGACCAATTAGTTTCTCGAATGCGTACTTCAAAATTCGCCACACAAGAAGATGAAGCTACTGATGTAGCTAAAGACGCACATTTAATTGCATATGTTCGATATGTTGACGATACCAATATAACTGAAGATATCTTATTTTATAAACCAATTCCTGACAGAGTCACATCCAATGAAATTTTCAAAATAATAGACAGATTTTTTAATGAGAACGGCATAATGTGGAATAATTGCATTGGGCTCTGTACTGACTGAGCACAATCAATGGCGGGACACAAAACTGGTCTTCAAACACTAGTTAAAATGAAAACACCTGAGGTTCTCTGGACGCACTGCATGCTCCACAGAGCAGCTCTCGTATCAAAAACTATAAGCGAGGAACCTAACAATGTTTTTGCAAAAGTAATGAAGGTTAAAAATTACATAAAAAACAGTCCATTAAAAGTAAGGTTTTTCGCAAAAATGTGTGAAGATATGCGAGCTAATTACACGTCACTTCTGTACTATTGTGAAGTGCGCTGGCTATCTCGTGCAAAAGTGTTTCAAAGGGTACTTGAACTCAAAGAAGAAATTGCTATGTTTCTTGAGGAAAATCATAATGAAGACGGCAATATGTTTAGGGATGATAATTTTATCGTTAAACTTACATATTTGGTTGACATTTTTGAAAAATTGAGTGTTCTTAATAAATCAATGCA